AGCATATGCATTTGTGTTGTCTGTCTTCTCTCTTGTTCACCATTTGCCTCTGGTCTTCTCTACTGAACAGCTGCAGTTCCGGAGTCCTGCCCCATAAGCATTGAGGAATAGGTATGAGATACATGAAGTCCTCTGTTGTTCACTCTTCTTTACAAATAAATACAAATGTAGCATTCATTTTGCAGTATTATATTTCTTTTTAAGGCCTCCCTGGGTGAACATAGCAACCCATCTTTTTTGAAGAAGGAATGATCTTTTTTTTTTTTTTTTTTTGGCACAGTCAAGTAATTCTTTTCAGCACCTACACAGAAGCCCAAGTAGGAGAGGCCTTTCTTGTGCCGGGAGAAGTGCCTCTCAGAAAATCCAGAGATGTATTATTTGTATTTATGTTGGTGAACCACAAACCAGTAGAGCAGGGTAAGTCAAAGGTAGCCTTCCTCAAGCTGGTGCCTTCCAGATGTGTTGGACTACAGGTCCCTTTGTTTCTAGCCAATGGCCATTCAGGGTGAGAGTTAAAAGAGTTGTGGTCCAGCAATCTGAAGGGTACCAAGGTGGGGAAGGTTTGTCTAAGGACTCTTGCTCAGCTAGATCATGGTACCTCTTTGCAGCTTTCCAGCCACTTACTTGTTTCCATGCTTACTGGGGAGACACGTCCGCTATATACAGCTGCGGATTCAGGGAATAAGCACTTCCAAAACACAAATAATGGGGAAGTGGGGGGAGGTGAGCTCAGATGTGTTGAGAACAGTATTTTTAATTGCAAGCCTGGCTCTATCCTGTCAGTGGGCCCACTGCTTTCTGTCCAGTAAAGCTGTCCCAGAAAGGAGCAGGTTTTCCCAGTACAAGGAGCACAATGTGTATGGCATGGGGTTGTTTTGGTCAGGTTTGTGGAGTGCTCATGTATGGTACTTGGGAAGAAAGTTTTAGGCTGCATTAGTAGAAGTATCCAAATCGCATGAAGTCCTAGTTTCCCTTTACGCCACACTGGTTAGGCCTCATCTGGAGACCTGTGTTCAGTTCTGGCCACCACAGTTTAAGATGCCAATAAGCTGTAAAGGGTTCAGAGAAGGGCAACAACGATGATTCTGAGACTGGAAACAAAGCCCTGTGAGGAAAGATTGAGAGAACTGGGCATGTTTAGCCTGGAAGAGAGAAGACTGAAGGGAGATCATAGAATCATGGAGTCGGAAGGGGCCTAGCAGGCCATTGGGTCCAACTGCCTGCTCAATGCAGGATTCAAGTCACCCATCCAGATTTCAACCTGGCCTGACCCTGCTTAGCTTCCAAGATTAGGCAGGATCAGATACTTCAGTCAAGTATTTGAAAGACTCTCACAAAGAAGAAGGCCAGGATCTCGTCTCAATCATCCCAGTATGCAGGACATGGAATAACAGGCTCAAGTTACAGGAAGCCAGATTCCAGCTAGATATCAGGAAAATTTTCCGACTGTTAGAGCAGAATGACAATGGAACCAATTACCCTGGGTGGTTGTGAGCTCTCCCACACTGGAGGCATTCAAGATGCAGCTGGACAAGCCCCCGAGAGGGATGGTTTAACTCAGTGTCCTGCACTGAACAGGAGGTTGGACCCAATGACCCCCTGACCCCTTCCAATTCTACTATCCTATGAATCTATGAGAGAAGAACTTTTTTCCAGAAATGGAGTTTTATTGAGATAGTATCACAGAGGGGCAAATTAAAGGTTAACTATTGAAAGCTGACCCAGAGATGAAAGGAGATGGGGGTGAAATTGCGAGGGCTGCAATCTTTCCACTTTCAACTCCTAGGCTGGGAGGGAAATGGCAGTGAGAATCAGAAGCTGTCAAAAAGGAGAGGGTGCATTGTACATTTTCTACCTTATGCTCTGTCCGAAACACAAGGAAGACAAAGAAATGTCAGGCTAAACCAGAAAATAAGTTTAAAAAGAAGAGTTGTTCCTTGGTGTCTCCAAGGTTTTACTGTTGGAATTCCCTCAAAGCGAGAATGAAGAAAAAGAGGGCTCAAAATGGGAGTCCAGGATCAGTCAGGCTAAGTTTATCCCAGCGAGATCTGTAGAATCATCACCTGAAGTTTGTGGGGTTGGAGAGCCTAGAATGGGGAGTTAGTCCATCAGAAGCTTCAGAAACCCAGGCTTCTTAGCTGGGCTTTTGCTGATGTTGCTTAGAAAAGGAACACACAGGAGACTTGCTGAGTTAAGGGGCTCTGTGGCAGTAAGAGCCTTTGCTCACACTCATTAAAGAGCAGGGTCGTCCTAGGAAAAACACCCATTTCCAGCTTTTTGTGAACCTGCTTAACTAAGGAGAGGAGTTAAGACAATTGGTGGAATTCGCAATCTATCTTGTAAAGGACACTTAGAGCTCTCCATAGCCAATCAATAAGTGACAGGGTGTTGTTTTGATGACTTGGAGGAGGATCACCACTTTATCAATTCTGGGAGGTGGTATGTCTGTTCATAGAAGGCATACACTCCCTTATGCTTTTCGACACAGAGTTTCAGCAAGAACTTAGAAGTGCACGTTGTTCGAGTTGTGGTACATCTTTACTAACTCACCTTTCCAGACACAGTGTGGCTGTTTGGGCCACGTTGCTTGTGAGACGACATCCACAAAACAACGGCAGACCAATGCCATGAGAATTATTCAAGGTGATGTTAAGGGATAGCAGTATTACCTTGTTAATACAAGACGAAACAGGGCTGGATCCAGGGTTGTCATTGCACCCATGACATAGCAGGATGGGCCTTCCTCATTCTCTCCTTCCCACAGTAGTCTTTTCCATGTTCTCCACATCTCTAGAGATTTGTCCTAGCCAATTAAATCCGTAATATTTCATTATGTTCGTAGCTTCCTCCTTTCTCAGCCCCTAACCATTTGGTGTTTATAGTTTATCCCCCCCCCCTTTTTTTTTTTTGTCTTGGGCTTCTGCCATTTTGATCACTAAATGTCCATACAACCTTTTTCTTTGCAAAAGAGGAAGAGAATTTCTGTCTGGACCTAATGTTTCTAACTCACCTAAATATACGTGACCACTAAAAGGTTTCCTGCAAAAGGTTGACCCTTTGCTCCTTGTGATGCTTATGTATTTCTTTTACTATCAAATGCATTTCTCAGTCATCTTTCGAGCCTGCATTCTTCCCAGTTGTGATAATTGTATCACAATTTTGTGTTTATGCCAAGACCCGTTCCTAAATAAAAGTAGTGTTCCCGTACTTCAAAGGCCAAGACTAGAGCAGGAGGGATAAATCTATGGCTGAGTATTTGCCTGATAAATAATGGTCACATTCTCTCTGTACTGCAGTGAATTCCTAATGAGACCAAGAGTTCTTTTTAAAGGAACTAATTGCCTCATTTAGCATATAACTATGCTGCTGGCATGCAAATGGTGTTTCAGCTTTCTTTGTACTCAAAATATAATGCCTTCTGGGCCAAAATATTATATAATGCCTTGGAGCCAAATTAATGCAGATGAAAAACATGCTTAGTTGCTTCCTGTACTAAATGAAAATCCCATGGCTTATATCCTGTGGCAGTTCGTGTCTGTGTATTCTAATGGAGTCAAATAAGAGATCTACTCTCTACATCAAAGAAATAGTAAATAAAAAGATGAGAACACAAATAAGATGCTCACAATGCTAAGAGGAGCTGACTTCATGCCTTGAGAATTTCAAACTTCTGGGTCAAACTTGATGGTACCTTAAATACACGGCATGGAGTAGACCCTCTCTTCCTTTCATACTCTCCAGTAAGCATTTGAACTTCCACTCTAAATTGGGGTCATTGCACCCAAGTCAGGATGGTTCAAACCACACCATCACTGCTTTTCAGAATCCGCCCCCCCCCCCCCAGAGCAGGGGTTTTGAAAAAAAAAAGGGCACCCCGGCTGCTGACCAACCCCCCCCCCCCCCCCCCCCACCCCCAAAAGCTCCTAATTGAGGCTGGGTCAATTTTCAGAAAAGCCATATGGGATAGATTTAAAACTCCTCTCCCCACTGGGATTGGGTGTACTGAACCAGATTGCAAAGCGTGTACATTTGCTTTAGACTAAGAAAGAAGTGGGGAGAAGTCAGCTGCCTGTTACTTGATCCTAAGATGCAAGTCGTAGATGGATGATAGGGAATTGTGTCTTCCCTTAAAATTGCCCTCTTCTATTACCAGCTTCCCAAGTCTTGTTCATCTGCTATTGCTGAACACTGCTCTGGCTCAGATAGTGATTGTTGCTACGTTCATGTTCCTGGCTTTACAGCTCGAGGAACTCTTTGTCAGCCTTCCTGGATGAGAACCTGTGTGGGCATTTCTTTAGTCAAAACTACCAACCAAACACACGGACTTGGTCAGATCTCCAAAAGGTCACAGCAGGACTGAGGCCAAAGTTAACCAGGAAGGGGCCTAATACAAAAAATGTCTGTGCACAACTATCTTGTGCACTTACAGACGTGACTGTTGTTGTTTGAAATATTAACAGATTCCAAATTTACATCGTATGGATGGCCACCAGCCCATATAAACTGGGTAAACTGCCCAAGCAGTAGCAAAGGTGCTTGCAGCAGCTGTTTTACATTGCCAGGGCTATACACGCTTTCATGAGCACCTGGAGGATGTGAAGGCTTGATGGGCTGCCCTTCATTTTTAGATTAATGATTCAAGTGGTAGAAGAAAATATATGGCAATGCTTCGTGGCTGTGTTATTTTATAGGTAGTAAAATGTCAAGGCATCTTTTAAAAATTATTTTACTGAACTTTGGGTATACCTTGTAATAAATGCCAGTGTCACAGAATGAACTTAGGGTTCCTTGGAAACCTAAAGCAAATTCTATAAAAGCTGCAACCTAGTTGTTAGTCATTATTAAGAACATGTTTTGGAAGACCATGTACTGTACTAGATCTATCATCGGCTGAGATTTAAAGAACAAATCTTGTTTTTCCATCCCTGGCACTGGTATACCAGCTCCTGTGGCCCACTGAACTCTTGCCAACAGTATTATTCATGCTTTTCTTCCCATAGGTATCCAGACATCAGCTGACAATTCCCTGAATCACAGCCAGACCCTGAGGCACCACTTCTCTACCTGCAACATTGACCTGGAGTATGATGAAGACGTGCAGTGCATGCTAGGACCCCTGTGTCCTCGATGATGTCACTTGGTTTGGAGGGGCACTAAACATATTTTCCCTAAAACACTATAAGGAGCAAAGAGCAGGGAAGCTGTGGGCAATATCAGTTTTGGGAATCAATCTCTCTCTTTCTCTCTCTCACTCCACACACACCTCCTAGCATTCTTAGTGATTGTTCCAAACGCCCCATATAGCATTCAGTCTGAACTTGCAGTACTAGCGGCTGAATGACTTGAGCTGGATTTGATGGCCGTTGCCTCTATAAATGTGCGTCCTTTGTCTTGCCAGCGCAGCATTCCTTTTCGTTTACTGACACTTTATGGTGTAGCCAAAGCCTTGTTTGGCGATCGCCATCACACCAGCCTCCCTTTAGTAGCAATGACATTCATCCTGCTTCCTCTGTTGCAGTGTGTGGCTGTAAAACTGTAATGCCGGTAGGAGATAAATCCGCACTGCAAACCTCTACATTGTCACAGCTCCTTTTTCCATCCACATAGTGGAAAACAGGATATCTGACACCACCTGATGTCTGCAGCACACCTGGTAGCAGAAGAAAAGAGATTGTCATTCCTTTCAACACCTCAGCTCCTCTCTATAGTCTTTGAACCGTCTTTCAAACTTCCCTGGATAAAAGATTCCAGACTGTGACTAGGGGCCCATTGTGGGAGACGTGGGGTCCATTTTGTAGGGTTCTGCAAGACCTGGGCTGTCCTGAATTACAGACCACAACACCAGCTCATAGAGGTGAAACAGTGCAAAGAATCTTCATTTTAAACGAAGGGGCTTTTAGCAGTTCCGCCTTGGCATGGGGACGAGGTATCTGTCCAGTCAACAGAGCAAATACAAAAGGGAGAATTCACTCATACACACTCACCACATGCATTCCTATGAATTTGTGATACTGTCATGAGTGAAACGAGACCTGAAGTTAACTATGCATGAAGGTGTAGCCGAGAAAAGAAGAGGCCCAAGTAGCAAGTCACAGGAGCATTGCTAAGTGCAATATTTGTGAAGTTTGTTTTGTTTTTTAAGTAAGGCATTGTCTCTTGAACTCTCTGCATGGCATTACTTAAAGTGTGGACTCCAACTACATGGATAAAATGGACATACTGGGTTATGCATTTGTTTAATGGTTAAGATGGTTTCCTTGGTGGTAAGTGTGTAGAAATCATTTTGAAGCAGCGATTCCCAGCCATCCTGACATGAGTTCCAGAAGGGCTGCTTTGTCTTTGGTTGGAAGCAGCCTGTTGCATCTGACTCTCACTTTCTCTCGTGCTGCATTGTCATCCACCCCCACCCCCCATATCTCAGAGAATGCTGTTGAGAATCTGCACTGAAAAGGGCAAATTCTGCCATTGTTGATACATGACATTTGTTAATAGACTTCAGGAACCATGAACATAAATGGCATTTGAGTAATTGCATCTATGGGGAATGTGGAAGCTGGGAAAGCCACCTAGTCATGTAAGGTTAGATGGCCTTCTTTTAAAAAACAAACAAAAACCAGGACTGGCTGTTTTCCTCTTATCAGTGGCATGGTTTCTAGTCTTAGTCCTATCCTGCTGTAGAACAAATGTAGCGCAATAGCTGAGCAATAATCTATATCCATGCTGCTAAGTGCTAATTCAGTGAGGATTTACTCAATGATCGCATAATGGTGGTGGCAAAGAGTTCCATTTTAGCCTGCATCCTTGCTTCTAGTTCATCCTTAACAAGATTAGGGGATATAATAGCCAGCAAGGTAAGTCTTCACTGGGAGTACAAAGTTAACTTCCGAAGCTCTGTGTAGTCTTATTTTGTCCTCCAAAGAAAGAGGTAGCTTGCATCCTAACTTGTTCTGCATAAATTGGCTCCTGTCTCCCAGGGCAAAACTCAGATCCTCTCAGGTGCTCCAGTCACACCTTGCTTTGTGTGGTCAAACTAGAACAATTGTGTGCACTGTCTCCACATGAAAATCTCTCAGACTACATTTCCCTTTACACTTTCCCCTGAAGAGTGGAACAGAAGGAAGGATGGGTGAAAATGTCAGACTCTTAAGTTGGCTGCAGAGCATCAGTGATGTTTACAAACTGAACATTATTTGAAAGAGGGCTCACTTTCCATGTGTATTTATTTTATCCTACCCTCTGGAGTGGTTTTTCTGCACAACCTGTTTACAAAGGCAGAGGAATAAATGTGCATACCTCCTACTGTGAGACAACTTTTAGGTGACTTCAGCCTTATGGTAGCGGACTCTGGGCATCCTGGTAAAAACAACCAGAGACCTTGGGTACATCCTTCAACTTGCTAACGATCACACTAAGGAGCCTTCAACATGGAGTCTCTAGAAATGGCTGAGGGTCTCAGGACACTGCATACGATTTGGTGAGGTTCATGAGCCTGTAGCCCATGAGATGTAGCTACTTGAGCTTTCCTCTTGCAGTATTCTGTGGGGAAAAAACCTATTTTAGGATAAAGTGCATTTTCTCAACTTGACCTCACCATTTTTAACAAGCAGCATGTCCATAGCTTCTCCAGATAGAACATTGTTTGTGATGAGACATGAGAGTGAGGGAAGGGTTGGCAAGGATAGTGGGACTGGCCAAGGCAGCACGTGTGCATTTTACTCTTCTACTCACAAATAGCTCCTCGAAACATGAGATGTTTCTTAATGTTCCAGGAATTGCTCAAAAGATTGTAAAATTGGCAATGCAGACTGGAGCTTCAGGGACTCTTTCTGAGGGTCTGAGGAAATACTTCCAAGGAGGTCATAGAAAATATTTCTTCCTGTATCCCTTTTCCCAGCCTGCAGCAAAGGCCAAGTGTCATGCTTCCAAGAGCTTTCCTTTTTGCATAAGCAGAAATCACCAGATGCAAAACGGTACCCATCTAGAATATCTTCTTGTCAAGCAGGCCATTGGAGCAGGGAAGCCGTCTGAGCCCCACTCAGGACTGCTGTCAGGCTCTGTTCTGACAGGCAAACGCCACAACGGGGACACGGAGCCCCTGGACACACTTGTCTACACCTCAATGGCAATGATGCAATATGTATTTATGACTGCATGACTCTTTAAAAGAGTGAATAAAGCTGTTTACAAGGGACAGAAAGTTGCCGGCTGGCATCGTCTCTCTGTGTGTTTCCTGGGGGAAATGGTCTTACGTTCAAACTGTGTAATTCTGCTTGGGAGGGGCTGCAGTGGGTCACTCCTGCATTCGGAGGGGCACCGGCTCAGATGGGATGGTAACTTCGGTGGGCTGGGGGGATGCACTGTTCCCTGCCTTCCATCACAGGATGCACTGCAAGCCCCCCAGAACCTTCCCTGGGCCATGCCCTCTGCCGTTGCCCTGGAAGTGGCCACTTGGCTAGATTCCTGGTGATTTTAGGGAACTTCTATGCTGCCCCATTCGCCGAAGCCTCGGAGCGGCTCACAATCATAAATAAATATAAAATGATATAACAGTATAAATTAAGTCACCCTGTCCAAAGAATAAAATAAATAATATTAACAATTAAAATAACGTTTGAATAAAAAGGTCTTTGCCTGGCGCCGAAAAACAAATAGCGACAGCACCAGGCGGACCTTTCTGGGGAGCGCATTCCATAGATTGGGCGCCACCGCAGAGAAAGCCCTCCTCTGAGTACCTACCCTCCTAATTTCCTTCACGGAGGGTTCCCGGAGAAGGGCCTCTCCCACTGATCTCAAGGGGCGGGCGGGCATATATGGATGTAAGCGCTCCAGGTAACCAGGACCCAAGCCGTTAAGGGCTTTATAGGTCATCACCAACACCTTGAATTGGGCCCGGGCTTCAATGGGAAGACAGTGAAGCTGACGGGGAACTGGAGTCATGTGAACATAACGCCCAGTCCCTGTCAACAGCCTGGCAGTTCTATTTTGAACCAATTGAAATATCCGGACCATCTTCAAGGGCAGCCCCATGTAGAGTGTGTTACAGAAGTCAAGTCTTCAAGTCACTGTTGCCAGGCAGTCATTCTCCAGGTAGAGGCGCAGCTGATGGATCAGCCGAAGCTGAAAGTGCTCCTCGCCACCGCTGTCACCTGAGCTTCCAGTGAAAGCTCTTGGTCGAGGAGCACTCCCAAGCTGTGGACCTTGTCCCTAAGAGGGATTGCAACCCCATTCAGGACTAGGTTCAATTCACCTTCCCCGAAGCCCGACCCACCTACCAACAGGACCTCTGTCTTGTCTGGATTGAGCTTCAGTTTATTGGCCCGCATCCAGCCCATTACCTCGGCCAGGCACCGGTTCAGCACAGCCACTGCCTCACGTGGATTGGTTGAAAACAAGAGGTAGAGCTGGGTATCAGTGTACTGATGATTCCACAGCCCACACCTCCTGATGACCTCTCCCAGCGGTTTCATGTAGATGTTGAATAGCAAGGGGGACAAGATGGACCCCTGCGGTACTCCATGGCATAGCTGCCATGGTGCAGAGCCACAGTCCCCCAGCACCACCTTCTGGAATCGGCCATTGAGGTAGGAGCGGAACCACTGCAAAGCAGTGCCTCTGACCCCTAATCCCGCTAGCCTATCCAGAAGGATACCATGGTCGATTCTGCCGGAAAGTCATGAGTGCGCTTGTTTCCCAGCAGGGCAGCTGGGAATGTGGTGGCGCAGCAGCCGTGGTGCTTTCAAAAGGAAACCTAGTAGCAGCCATGCCATCCCTCTTGGGGGGCTGCACATGGACCACTGCCCTGCTGAAAGAGGCTTGGCAGCAGCTTTTGGGTTCGGGGTGTGTTCGAATGTTCCTGAGGGCACGGCTGGTGTGTTCCTTTCACCTGCTTCCTTTTAGAATGGCTATATCACGTACCCTAAGTGGGGAGCACTCTGTAAGAAACTGCTTACTACTAGGTCATTCAGGGAAAGTGTGACAGCATTGGTGGTCCAGGAAAAGTTTACATGGTAGGTCAGATAAAAACCATGTATAAAAGATAATTCCGTTTTAAATAATGTTCACAGTCCTGTTGGGTTTTTTTAATGTTTGCATAGGCTATAGGAAATGGTGGCTGACTACTTCATTAGGAGTATCTGACAACCTAGGAAATATTAGGGGTGTACTATAAGGTTGCAGACTTCCTGAAATAGCTCCATTAAAACCTAATCCACAAATATGCAGCTGCAAATTCTCAGTGTCCAAATACTGAAATACCACAGTGGGGCTGAACTTGCACTAATCTTTGTGCAGTTGTATCAAGCACAAAAGTAGAAAATGAAGCAAGTGAGCAGTAGCCAGGGGCACCGGCAACAGCAGAGAGACCTGGGAGAGCATAAGATCAGATTGCCTCCATTCAGCCAATAAGTGCAATGGCTAAATCCTTGCATTCAAGTAGGATTTCTGACAATGCATGTTCTTATACTTGTATTTTGACTTGCGTAACTCAGTGGGCCCTACACAAGTTTCTTGGGATGGTTTATTGTTTTTAGTGAAGTCGTGTCTGACCCATTGCAACCCCATGGACTATATTCATCCAGGCTCTCCTGTCCACCATCTCCCGGAGTCCACTAAAGCTCACACCAACTGCTTCAGTGACTCCATCTAGCCACCTCATCCTCTGCCGTCCACCCTTCTTCTTTTGCCATCTATTGTTCCCAGCATTGGACTCTTCTCCAGGAAGCCCTTCCTTCTCATTAGGTGGCCAAAGTATTTGGGTTTCATCTTCACTATCTGGCCTTCTAAAGAGCAGTCAGGGTTGATCTCCTCTAAGACTGGTTTGATCTTGCAGTCCAAGGGACTCGCAGGAGTCTCCTCCAGCACCACAATTCAAAGGCCTCAATTCTTCAGTGCTCAGTCTTCCGTATGGTCCAACTTTCACAGCCATACATTGCAACTGGGAAAACCATAGCCTTGACTATAGGTACTTTTGTCAGCAGGGTGATGTCTCTGCTTTTTACTATGCTGTCTAGATTTGCCATAGCTTTCCTCCCCAGGAGCAAGTGTCTTTTAATTTCTTGGCTGCAGTCCCCATCTGCGGTGATCTTGGAGCCCAGGAAAATAAAATCTGTCACTACCTCCATTTCTTCCCCATCTATTTGCCAGGAAGTGATAGGACCAGATGCCATGATCTTAGTTTTCCTGATGTTGAGTTTCAAGCCAACTTTTGCACTCTCCTCCTTCACCTGCATCAAGAGGCTCTTTAGTTCCTCTTCACTTTCTGTCATTAGAGTGGTATTATCTGCATATCTGAGGTTGTTGATA